GGTACAGAGGCTTAGATCTGAGTCATTTTAATTACAGCTGAAACCACAAAAACAATTTACCTGAGCTCACCTTTGGTTATTTCCTCTTACCTGTAACTTGGCTAACTCCCCTAGCCACTTGCAAATCAAAAAAGAAACACACAAAGCAATTCGTCATGATTTACTTCATGAGAACAATGACCTAAAGCACGTCTTCATAAATATTAGTACATGATACTTTTATATGATGAAATAAAAAAAAATTCCTTCACAGCTGAATCACTTCTTGTAGGTAGTAGTAGACAATGGTGCCACATAACTTTTACAAGTACTTTCTCTTTTTATCATGTGATGATCGTCAGTTCTTATCCACACACACCCAATTTTAAAGTCTTTCGCTTTCAACTAGAGTGCAGGTGTGTCAAAATACTTTACATTTTATAATATTACAGGTGCACTGAACCAGTTCTTTACTAAAACAGTGACTTGGTATTTCTGAATATTCTCCACAGGCTTTTAAATGACAATTACTTTCTAAAAATATCCATGAAGTGAGAAAAGGAAGAGGCAAAGATAAATTTTTCTAAGGAAAAACTATGGGTGTAAGGAAAAATATTTTTCCCTCTTGGAATGAAACATGCCATCAAAAGAACCTTAAAAGTTTAGGTATTATTTGTCATTTCAATGAAGTCTGAGTCCTTCAAACAATATGAACACTTTACAGTTGGGGGGGGGGGGGGATGTTTACAAGGGACTCACCTAAAGCACTGTTTTGCCATGAGCCTTCATAGCCTTGAAGGTTTTATAACTGGCGTATGTTTGTTTCTCATAGTTTTGTAAAAAAAAACATTTTTTTCCAAGGAAAGAACTGTACTCATACAAAATTTACCAAGTCAAGTTTTAAGGAAGCAGTTTTGTTTTTCTTTCTGCTTGCTCATAATCCCACTATATAAAGACAAGTACTAGGTTGTTTTAGTACCAATTTTAGAATAAACAGTTTAAGAGGTAGGTGTGTGGATTAAAATCAGCCACCTCACTGCCCCATCTTCAAATAATACAAGGGAAATCACACTGTTCCTTAGAAAAGGATATACAGACAGGGAAGACTAGAAACATAGGAGAGAATAAGAATCTTTTAAAGAATAAATAGCATCACACGTTCCTGTGCCATTTTTGTGTAAGGTTGTGTTAATCTTATATATATTGTTTGGCCTGGGTGAAGGAATGGCAAAAGTGAGCATGAAAAACACATTCTGATAAGGGGCATCAGACTGATTTCATTTATATGACTGATGTTTACAGTTACCATTTTAATAAATTCAACATAAAGAGTGGATAGAATTATATACAAAAATGCTAACAAAACAAAATAAGCACAGTAGAAGTTCAGGTTCCTAAGATTACTCAGGGAATAACAATATCTTTAAAGGAGAATAGCAGATAACATTTAGGTGCTAAACAAAAATCACACAATGAATAGTTAAAAAAACACCAGTATTTTCAAATGATATTTTCAACTAAAATCTGAAAGTATTTTTTTTTAAAAAGAAGAGAAAATGAAAATGGGCAACCACAGTAAAGTAAAAAAACCTACAGTCCAGAAGGTGAAGATCTGAATTCTAAACCTAATTTTCTAATGAGCCAAGAGATGAAAAATTAAGAGACTAAAAAATAGAAGGCTCTACTATGACTATTCAATGATGTCAAATGCAAAATTAACTCCTAATTTCTTTCCACCCTTCTCTAATAAGTTTCCGCTACTCAAATACACGTGACATCTAGAAATAGGCAATCATGAAATAAAAGTGAATTAAAATTATAAATTCATAGTTAACCAAAGAAACAAAATAAAATTTTAAGTAAGTCCCCTGTCCTGGATTAAAAAGAACTGTTAAATTTACATCTTAAATATAACACTAGTTTACCAAGAGAGAATTCCCTTATACCATCCTCACTAAGCATTACAGATCATTCTGTGTATGCTGACAACTGCACTGGTTGGGTAATAACAGATCATTACAGAACATTTTTCTTCTAAGGTTTTTGAGTCTCACTGTGATGGTCCCAATAATCAAGAATCTTATACAGAAATAAATTTTAAATGATCTCTGTGTGTGTGTGTGTGTGTTTGTGGGGGGGTTACTGGGGATTAAACCCAGGGCCATGTGCATGCAAGGCAAGCACTCTACCAACTGAGCTATATCTGCAGCCCTAAAATGACCCATTTTTGAAAGCAGATTGCTTTTAAAAAGTAGGAAAACACAATAAAGTAACATTTAAATATTAAACTTAAATTTCAATTTCAATTACTCTTAATTAATAAAAGCATTTTCCCCTAATATTCTTTAAAATATCACTATGGGTCTCATCTAAATCAGCAATAAATATTATTAATCTCTTAATTATACCTCACATGGGAAAAACTAGTTTATATTCCCAAGTCCTCAAGAATATACTAAAATAGACACCAAGCAGATTAAAGATATTGTGTCCATATATAACTAAAAAAAATTATTAAAAAAAAAGTTGGGGAGGGGAATTTTTTCACTGAATTCCTTCACATATGCATTTTTTATCTTGGAATTTTATAAATGTATTACCTATTAGATTAACAAATATAATAAGCTTCAAAAACAAGATAAATAAGACTTTACCAAAATTAAATATTTTTACTCTGCAAAAGAAAAAAGATAAGTCATAGATAAAAACAAAACCTACATAGTTCTGATAAAGAACTTTTTATCCAGAAAATGTAAATAACTCTCAAAATTCAGTAATAAAACAAATGAAAAATTGAGAAAAGGACTTGAACAGACATTTCATCAGAGATTATTTATAAACACATAAAAACACACTGAACACAAAATGGATGAAACTCAAAAAATTATGCTAAGTTGCAAAAGACAACATACTTTACAGTTCCATTTATATGAAATATCCAAAAAAGGTAAATTTTAGAAACAGAAAGCAGACCAATGGTAAACACAGCACAGATTAGCTGAAAATAAGTACAAGAGAACATTTGGAGGACATGGAAGTGTTCTAAAACCACTATGTGGCAATGCTTACACAACTCCTGTATTGTATTAAAAAAGTCACTGAAAAAAAAAAGTCACTGAACTGAACCCCAAAATAATAATTTAACTGAAATAGTGAAAAGTCACTCAGTAGTAAAGATGAAATAATATTCTAAGGTATTATTATAACCAACTTAAAGTTAACAACTACATGATTTAATTATAAATAATGTTTTGAGGTGATAATAGTACAGAGAAAGAATTCTAGTATTAGAGATATGAGGCTGTGTATGAGAGACCATCAGAAACACTGGATATATAATCCAGTAAAAATGTAACACAAATGTTAAACAAATGTTATATTAACACTTCTAAATATAACATTAGTGAAAACAAATGTTATATTAACACTTCTAAAAAATATATTCATAATTTTTAAAATGAATGAATTCTCTGCTATCTCAATAATTTTCAGGAGTGATCATGGGTCTATTTCTTTAATCCCTTCTGGTAGGAATTCTGATGGCATTTCAGACACTCCTTCTTTCTCCTTCCCATTGAGCCTTTTTAAGAAGTGCTAAATATATATAGAAATGCCAGTTAGGTAAGCATACTTGACTAAGAAAAAATGTTACACTCACAGAGAGGATGACATATACTGAACTCCACATTTTTTTGTAGGGTCATTTAGGTGGAATATCAACATTCTCCCCAATCCCACTGTTTCTAATTCTACTTCTTACAAAAACCACTTACTTAGATTCTTGAACTGTGTGGACAGTTAAACAACATGTAAATAACGTTGCAATCCCCCAACTTAAAATATATTCATAATAAAAGCAACATTTTCAAGTATTACTTTTATATTTACTAAAATATTATCTCTTTCCAACTAGGATTTAAAGTATCAAGTTACACTTTCTTTGCTATATAAAAAATAAAATTTCATGAAGAATAGGCTACTGAAAATTTCTCTCTTTAAAATAAATGTAATTAGGGCGCGGGTTGTGGCTCAGTGGTAAAGCACATGCATGAGGCACTAGGTTCGATCCCTGGCACCACATAAAAAACAAATAAATAAATGTAATCAATAGCGAATGTAGTAATGATTAGGTGAAGGAAAAAAGGAAAAAAAAAAAAAAAAAAAAAAAACCCAAACCAGAATATCATGTATAAAATGAGCATTCCTAATGCCAAAATCCAAAATGTTTTGAGCAAGAATATTAACAGCACAAGTTGAAAATTTCATACCTGCCCATATGTAACAGTCAGTCAAAATACATGCACACTAAAAATATCATAAAAAACTGCCTTCAGGCTGTTTATAGGAATAATAATGAAACAAATGAATTTGATGTTTAATCATAGGTTTTATCCTCAAGATATCTCATTATATTTATGCAAATATCTAAAATCAGGGGGGAAAATCCAAACACTTTTGGTCCCAATCATTTCAGATAAGGGATATTAAACTCTATGTGTGTGTGTATTTTTCCCCCCTTTCAAATCTACCAGAACTCTTTTAAAGACTAGTAGCATCAGAGATGTGGTAAGAGGGCAATTTTAAAACAATGTATTTTATTTTGCTAAAGAGAATCAGTGGTTTCACTGCAAGTGTTTCTGTTACAAGCAATATCCCCCTACAAGATACTGAAAATTTCTTCCTGAAATAACTAGTGTTAAGTATGCTTATTTTACTTCATTAAAAAAGGGATTTATCAGAGCATGGAGGAACATGCTTGTAATCCCAGAGGCTTGGGAAGCTGAGAAAGGAGGATCAAAAGTTCAAAGCCAGCCTCAGTAACTTAGGGAGGCCCTAGGAAACTCTATGAGAACCTGTCTCAAAATAAAAAACAAAATGGGCTGGGGATGTGGTTCAGTGGGTAAACCCCTCTGCATTCAATCTCTGGCACCAAAATAAACTAACAAACAAATTAATTAATTAAAATTTAAAGAGAATTTAAAACAGAAAATGAAGTGTTTTAATGTTGCTAATTACATTACCTTCAGGAACAATTGCAGAAGGACAAACTTCTTTGAGGAGATCGCCCAGTGTATGTGGCTGTCCATCTGCAGCCACAGGACGAAACAGTTTCTGAATGAAAGGGCGTTCAGTCGTTGTCTATTTGAAAAAGGAAAAGATAATCCAAGCAATTAAATTTTTGCTGCTACTCCCTATAAATTAAAAGATCTTAAATTTTATGTTGCTACTAGGTATCTTGTAATATGGTGTAACCAGAAGTACACAAAATCACAGATATGGTATCACTGGGAAACATGTTTAATGATATAAATTTATATAAATCTAATGCTCCAGAAATAATCAGGCAAATTCAGGAAATGGAACATTCTAAAAACAACAGGCCCAAAAAATAAGGCATTAAAAACCAAAACAATATAAAACAAGGACAAAAGTGGTTTGTGTCCTTGACTTTTAAAAAAGGAGTATAATAAGAGATAATGCAAAAATAAAGCCTGGCTGAATACTACACTGGCGAAGAAAATTTCTAAAAAATGCATTATAAAAGAATTTTTTGATAACTGGGAATCATACCAAATACCAAAATTCTATAGTATAATAATGATAATCACTGTCGTAATATATTGCTAATCATTCCAGTTTTATCCATGTTTAAAATGGTTTTGTTTTCCTCAACTATCTCGGTGACAATGAAGGCCTCATCATGACCCAGAGTACCGAGGCTCTGGAATTGGTCAGGGATTATGAAGAACACTGTTGTTTATGAGCTCTATGATCTCCCACCAAGTTCCTTTCACTGTTATTTTGCAACATTCCATATTTCTTGAGTTTGATGTAGGAATAAGTAAGGAATCGTGTCAAGCACAAAATAAATATTTTTTAAAAATCCCTTTCCTCTTTACTGTTACTTACTTTTAAAACGGTAAGTTTAAATTTTAAGTTTCCTGGAGTAAAACAATCATAAAAATACAAAGGTTTGTGTGTGTGGTTTTTTTTTGGTTTGGTTTGGTTTAATCAAAGAGATACATCTCAATCTCTCTGACATAAGTGTTATAGATTTAGCTTTAAAAAAAAACAACTAGCTTTACGTGCTGACATAAACTAAAAATCTTGATAATATGCAATGATTATACTTCAATTCACTTCATTAACTTAAGTCTATAGGGATTAAAAAATATGATTGATAGTTTTAGTTTAAGAAGTCTATAGTTTTTGATACAAGTTGAAACCAAGAATAATATGTTCAGGCAACTGATTAATTATATAATAAAGATAATAAGGGTTAGGGGAGTTGAGAGGAAAAAGAAATGAATAGAGAAACACAGTAATAATTTAAAATATCTACAGTCCACTTTGAATTTCTATCTTCCAGACCATGAAGATGCTTTAAAGACTTTTTAGCAAAGGAAGTGGCATGATGAAAGAGACTTTTTCTGAAGGCTCATGAAAGCAGTGCTGTGGATGATGATTCGGTTAAGAGGTAAAATCAGAATGACTGGTGAGAGGCCAGCTGATAAAGCAAGTCCATGTGATGACAACCAGGACTGAGACAATGGGAAAGACAGTGGCAGAAATGCATGCCAATTTAAAGAAAAAAAAAAAAAACTCAGATGCATCTCTTTTAGTCCAACCTGAAAGAAAAACAAAGCCAAAGAAATCTCTTCAAAAAGTTGAAAATCTCATACGAATCCTAATTAGTTACAGAATAGTGAGATGGCTTGGCTATGATACAATTGCCTGAAAACAATATACTTGACAGGAAAGGTTAAGTAATCTCAGTTACATATTAAAAAACAGACACTGCCCTCTAACCCTGCTGTTTCTCTGTATCTTTCCTTTTCCCACTCTCTCCTAAACCTGAGCAGTTATTATAAAGGTGTAACCTTCAACAAATTTTTAAAACAAAGTATTTTGTTTGGTAGAGGAAAAGCTCTGTAGACGGTAACCAAAAATACTTTCGGCAAAATGCTGCTTGCATTTATTACAGAATAAATGTAAGGAAAAGCCTATTCCAAATATAGTCAAGTAGGTTAACCAACATTAATGTGGGTAACAACGTATGTTTATTTATTCTAATAAGCTGGAAATTAGAAAATGCATTGACAATAAGAGGCACAACCATATTACAAACTTATAAATCATATAGATCAAGTTCAAGTCTTATATGAAACATAAGGCATAAACTCCAATAAAAAAAATGCAAGGCTCTTTCTTCTTAAGAGAATAAAAACTTAAAACCAGAAAGAACTGGCTTCAAGTCCTGTTTCTATCATTTGTTACGAAAACATGAGCACAATTACTTAATTTTTCTAAATCTCCATTTCCTTAACTGAAAAAATATAAATAATCACACACATATGAAAACAAATAAGATGTGAACTGAAGGAGATGACGCCTACATTGTAGTTTTTTAAATAATAAAATGCACAACATGATCATGGCACATAGTAATTTGGAACTTAAAACACCAATGACCAGCTAGGTGCGGTGGTGCATGCCTGTACTCCCAGCAGCTCCAGAGAATGAGACAGAAGGATGGTGAGTTCACAGCCATCCTCAGCAAATTTGAGGTGCTAGGCAACTCAATGAGACCTTGTCTCTAAATAAAATACAAAATAGGGCTGGGTATGTGGCTCAGTGGTCCAGTGCCCCTGTTCAATCCCCAGTACCACCACCACAAAAAAAAACATACCACCAACCAACCAATGACCAGGACCACAAGTTTAGAATGCTGCAGTGCACATTTGATTTACTATTATCCAAACTTAGTATATTTAGTTTTTATTTCCTTTTACCTTCAATTTCTTTTCTTAAAATTCATTTATATGGATACCAAAAACCCCAGAGTGATAAAATTCAGAAGCTTATATTTTAATATTTATTTATATGCAAGAGGGCAAAGGCAAAGTCATTTTGGGACTTTGATTCAAAGCTAGTCTTGAACTTAACCCCAAAGTCATGACCCATGAAAGAAAATACCAATAAGCTAGACTTCATTTAAAAAAATAAACAAACTTTTCCTCTATAAAAAGGCCTAAAGAAGATTAAAAGACAAGCTACAGCCAGTCATAGTGTACATGCTATAATCCTAGTTACTAGGGAGGCTGAGGATGGAAGATGGCTAGTTTGAAGGCAGCCTGGGCAACTAAGCAAGACCCTGACAAAAATTTAAAAAAATAATTTATAAAATATTAAAAAAGGTCAAGCCTCAGACTGATAGGAGAAAATCTACAAATCACATTTCCAACACAGGTCTTAAACCCACAGTATACAAAACATGCTAAAAATTCAATAGTTAAAACAACAACAATCTAATTAGAGCATGGGCAAAAGACACAAGCAGAAATTTTACTAGAGGATATAGAGATAGTAAATAAGCACATGAAAATATGTTTTAACACATGAGTGTCTGCTAAGAAAATGCAAATAAAACCACAATGTATCTGATATTACCACACACCTACAAGAGTTATCTAAAACAAAAATTAGTGGATGTTAACAGTATATACCTCAAAGGTTCTTGGTAAAGAGTAAGGCAAGGCATTATTTAAACAATGTCTAGCATATACTAAATGTTCAATATACAGTTACTGTTTTTATTAAACATGACTTAACATTCAATGGAAGCTTATTCAATATTAATATGGACTATGTACTAACTTATAAAACAAAAGGATGATTACAAAACATATTCATCATGTAGTTAACTCTTAATATGTTACCATTAGTGCTAATTGTTGTTTTGCTCATATATATCTTATCATGATATAGTATGAATTAGAAATGTTGATTTATTCAAAATGACAATTTGCAAAAAAAGAGAGAATTTACAGCAAGAAAGGTACATAAAAGGCTCACTGACTAAGGAGTTAGAGATCATACAGAGAAGAAAGAATTCTAATACTATTAGAGAGCAACGGGAGACTGAATTCACTGAAACAGTGAAAACTGGTTATAAGAGAGAAAAAAAACTTTAAAAAATCAGATAATGACAAATTTTATATTCTGCTTTAAAGTTCTTTGAAACAGGCTGATTGATTTACTAAATGTATAAGTAAAATTTATTTGATAATTTAGAAGGGTTGCTTAAATATATCAGAGGATTTTATTTGTAAGATTTGCAGGTATATTTGAAAAAAAGTCAGCTATTAAACTATAACTGGAATCAGCCAGTGTCTCAGAATGTAATTAGATTGATATGCAACTAGTACGCTGTGGTAAGAATTAAATCTAGAAAAGGAATGAGTTACAAAAATGGCTATATTATATATTATCAGTAGCATAAAATCAATGGAAAGGCATTAGAAAAACTAGGCTTTATAATTGAAAATCCCATCAAAACTGGACTCACATCCAGTCAGTATATTTTCACTTGACACCATTATTTAAAATAATGTACCTAAGTAATAATAAGGCAAATTTACTATTAATGTTTTGCGGATCTTTAGCCAAGAAAAAAAAAGAAAGAAAGAAAAGAAAAATGAAAACAACAACAAAAACTCTAATATAATAGGTAACTTCAGTGAATCACACACAGTTGCTAACATTCCATTAAGAGTCTTTACAGATACTGCAATATAAACAAAACTTCAATAAAGAATGTATTTGTAGGGCTGGGGTTCTACCTCGAGTAATAGAGCACTTGCCTAGCATGCATGAAGTACAGGGTTTGAGTGCAAGCACCACCCCCTACACATGAATATTGTTTCCTAATTTTGTTTAAAAATACAGTGGTAACGGATAACAGAAATACAGCAAGTGCTGAGAGAATGTTGTAAAGCTAGAGTACAAAATTTAACTCTGAAGGCTGGGAGTACAGCTCAGAGACCCTGGGTTCCAACTCCAGCACCCCAAAAAATAAAACAAACAACTCTGGACTTCTCAGGCAATAAAAGCAAATCAAGAAACAAATTATAACCAGTTATATAACTTTGTTTTCTAAGAATGCAAGATATACCAGTAGGTATAAAGTAAAATACACTAACTGTAGTAGAATGTAAAAATAACAGTGAGGAATTTCTAAAAAGAGGATGAGAAGAAAGGAGGCAATATAGAGCAATCTTCAAGCTACAACTTGAAACTGATTTTTTTTTTTTTAATGGAGAAAGACTTACACCATTTCAGTACTCAGAAGGCAGGTG